AAATAAAAAATAATTTGGAGTTGATTTTCATTTGACATTTTTTTGCAAATGATTTGACAGGAGATTGTTGTGGGAAGGGTACATTTCCATTTCTCATTTTCCAAATTTGCTTCTTATTTTCCAAATTCCACCCCCACATAATCCAATGGACCTTTTTGTGTAAATTACCCTCTCTTTTTAATTATTTACAAGTATGTCATTATCATATTTGCCCTTCATTGTTTTGATCCAAAGGGACTAAAGTGTTTTCCATTTTTTTATTTATTTGCAATTTTCCGATGAAACTCACTCACACGTATTCTCTCTCTCTCTCTCTCTCTCTCTTTATATATATATATATATATATATATGTGTGTGTGTGTGTGTATGGGCAAGTTCATTAAAGAATCCTAAATGTTTTGAAAATCATAAGAATAAACTATTTGTGATATTCATAATATATAATATTTACAAATATTCATTATGAATAATCCTTTTATGTATGTATGAATTAGTTTCTGTTAGTGGCTTCCAATGGGCTATGGGTGTGTTTGAGCTGCATGTGAGCACAGATGAGTGTTCTAAAAAGGAGCATTCTGTTGGCGAAATTATCTGAGTCCCGATTATGGCTTAGGCGTGGATCGGGTTGAGCAGAAGATAAGATGGAGTGCAGTCCAAGTTATCAAGTTTAACTTAAATGTGATAATTATCTATTCCTAAGATATAGGGATATATAGATYATTGCCTTGTTTAAGATATAGGGATATATAGATAATTGCCTTGTTTAAATTAAATAGAGTCCTAGTTATATGCTAATACGTACATGGTTAGTATATATATATATATATATATATATATATATATATTCATAGATAGGTTCCAAAAGAGAGAGATAGAATCAATTGGAGTTTTTAAGTTAGTTTTCTTCAATACAATATTTGCGTGTTTTGGCAATCTCTTCTGTTTTTTTGCTCTGTTTACCTTGAATTGGTATCAGAGCCATTGAGATCAACAGCGGCAACAATTCCGGCGATTAATTTCGATCGTGAGCAAGACGATCAGAAATCAACAGCGATTGATTGTGGTACCTTGATCTGCGATTGGTTCAGAATTAATCCCAAATTCATACGAGTCCATTGGGCTGTTGATTGTCTCGAATCTAGTTGAGTGAAGTAGGCACAATCCGGGAAACTGTTGATCGGCCTACACGAGTTCAACACAAACTGAAAGCAGCTTTCTAGCCATGATATAAGGGCTGGATAAATCCCATTAAAGACTTATTCACGTACCACGAAGAAGTCCCAGATGACAGGAGTCCTGTGTCATAGCCGGTGGCAAAAGAACCAAACCCGTTGACGTTTCAATGTCCACTAGTAACATCAACCAATTATACCATATGGAAGATACGATTGGAAGTGATTCTTGGAATTCATGGAGTCTGGGAGGTGATAGATCCGGGCTCAGACGATGCCAAGAAAAACAATATTGTGAAGTCCCTACTAATCATAAATCAGTACGCATATCAAGTGTAAACAACATGAGCAACGTGACCTCTCAAATATCAAGTGTTACCGTTGCCACAAGTACAGACACTTTGTTTCAAGATGTCCAGATCGACCTCGAGACCATGAGGCAAACCTTCATGAGACGCAAGAGGGAGATGTGAATCATGAGGAAGGAGTGTTTTACATGATGAACCTTGTTCAAGAAACGATATTTATTAATGAAGAACAGTACATCCCGCCAAAGATCAAGTCCAACACCGAGGAAGACGATATATGGTACTTGGACAATGGTGCAAGTAATCATATGACCGGTAACTACTCGTACTTCTCTGAATTAAATGAACGTATAACCGGTCGAGTGAGATTCAGAGACGGGTCGTGCGTAAGCATAAAAGGAAAGGGCTCGATTTTGTTCGAAGAAAAAAAGTGGCGAACAAAAATTGACAAATATTTATTACATTCTATCTCTACGAAGTAATGTGATTAGTCTCGGACAAGTTACAATATTCGGTTGTGATATTCGTCTCCAAGGTGACTTCTTAACCATGCGAGATAGAGATGGAAGATTGCTTATGAAAGTCCCGCGAAGTGCAAATCGTCTTTATAAGACCCGACTAAAAGTTGGGAAGCCCTACTGTTTACAAGCTAACATTGATGAAGAGTCATGGTTATGGCACGCTCGACTTGGCCACATCTACTTTGGTGCAGTGAAATTGATGCACAAGTTAGCTAAAGGGGTACCGATAATTAAGCATCAAGATCAAGTATGTGAGTCTTGCATGGTTGGGAAACAAACTAGGCGCTCGTTCCCGAAGAAAGCAACATACAGAGCAACGTACATTCTTGAAATGGTTCACGGGGATATTTGCGGACCAGTGGATCCCCCCCACTCCAGCAGGTAATATTTATATCTTGGCTCTTATCGACGATTTTTCAAGACACATGTGGTCTTTTCTCTTGAAGCACAAAAGTGACGCAGTTGGTGTAATTATAAAATTCAAGACGACGATTGAAAAGCGAACAGGAAAAGGAATTAAAACATTTCACACAGATAGAGGTGGTGAATTTACATCACATGTATTTAATCGTTTTTGTGACCAAGAAGGTATAGCACGAATGTTGACGGCTCCTTATGCACCTCAACAAAACGGTATAGTCGAACGGAGAAACCGAACTCTACTCGAAATGACTCGGTGCCTCATGAAAGCTAGGAGTGTACCAAATTATTTTTGGGGTGAAGCGGTTCGACATGCAACCTTTATAATAAACCGAACCCCTACGCGAGCATTGGTAGGAGTTACGCCATATGAGAAATTTTATGGTGAAAAACCAGACCTTGAAGATTTAAGAGTATTTGGTTGCATTGCCTATGAAAGAATAGTTTCGAAGAACTTGAAGAAACTCGATGATAGGTCTAAACCATTGGTGTATCTCGGCAAGGAACTAGGTTCGGGAGGATTTCGCCTTTTCAATCCGCGTGAAAATAAAATCATCATAAGTGCCTATGCAATCTGTGATGAGAAAAGAGGCTGGAAGTGGAGAAATATGTTTGAAAACTCAAGCCAAGCAGTAAATGAACCAGACACTTTCACGGTTATATGGGGTGATAGACAAGCTGATGAAACCGATCAGCATTGCAACAATGTAACAGGCCCAAATTAGCCCACAACCGGCCAAGGAGGAAGCCCGGAACATGCAATCAATAGCCCTAGCCACAAAAACAGCCCACAACATGATGAAACTGACAACGATGCTACGCCTATCCCGGTACGTCGCTCAACTCGTACTTCTGTGGTACCGAAAAGATTAAATGATTATGAGTTGAATGTTAACGAACTCTTGTTAATATTTGACGAGGAACCGAGGAATTTCGATGAAGCCAAAGTGAAACCGAAATGGCTCAAAGCTATGAAAGCCGAGATTGATTCCATCGAGAAGAATAATACTTGGAAGCTTGTTTCTCTACCCAAAGAAGTTAAACCCATCGGGTTAAAGTGGTTGTTTAAAGTTAAAAGAAACGCAGATGGTTCGATTAATAAATATAAAGCGCGTTTAGTTGCTAAAGGCTATGTTCAACAACCCGATATTGATTTTGATGATGTATTCGCGCTAGTAGCTCGACTGGAGACAATACGACTCCTGATTGCTCTCGCAGCCGGAAAAGGATGGAAGATTCATCACTTAGACGTCAAAACGGCCTTCTTGCACGAAGAATTAAAAGAAGAAGTCTACGTTACCCAACCTGAGGGTTTTGAAAAACCGGGAGAGGAAGGAAAAGTTTACAAGTTGGCAAAAGCTTTATATGGCCTAAGACAAGCTCCAAGGGGATGGAACATAAAGCTCGACAATATTCTAAAGAACATAGGTTTTCAACAATGTTTGCAAGAAAAGGCAGATTACAAAAAGGTACTCAATGGAAAATTTATCATTGTTGCGGTTTATGTGGATGACTTATTCGTGACAGGAACATGCCTAGAGCTCATAAATCAGTTCAAGATAAGGATGGCGTCTCAGTTTGAAATGTCAGATCTTGGTGAATTAACTTATTACTTGGGTATCGAAATCTCTCAAGAAAAGGGTCGTGTGAAGATCAAGCAAGAAAGCCTTGCCAAGAAAATCTTAAAAGAAGCAGGAATGGAAGATTGCAATCCAACTTTATATCCAATGGAACCGGGATTCAAGTTGTCGAAAGCCGAAAAGGAACCGAAAGTTGAGGCTACTCCGTATCGAAAATTAGTGGGTTGCTTACGTTACCTCTTACATACTCGTCCAGATTTGACATACTCGGTTAGGGTAGTTAGTCGATATATGCAAAGCCCTAGAGAATCACATGCACGAGCTATTAAGCAAATCCTTCGCTATCTCAAAGATACAACCTCGTTCGAAATAAAATATGAGCGAGACAACGACATGAAACTGGTTGGATATAGTGATAGCGGTCATAATGTTGACATAGACGATGGACGAAGTACTACGGGTCATGTTTTCTATCTTGGTGCGACACCTATCACATGGTGCTCACAAAAGCAAGCTACCGTGGCATTATCTTCTTGTGAAGCTGAATTCATGGCAGCTACTGCAGCTGCATGTCAAGCAATTTGGTTAAGGGAGTTATTGGCAGAGTTGACAGGGTTGGAGAAACAGAAGGTGCTGATCCGTGTTGATAATAAATCGGCAATTGCGTTGTCAAAGAACCCGTCTTCCATGGTAGAAGCAAACACATCCATACTCGATATCATTTTATCCTAGAGTGTGTTGAAAATGAGCAGATAGTAGTCGAACATGTATCCGGAGACAAACAGAGGGCAGATCCGTTAACGAAGGTCTTGGCTCGTATAAGGTTCATGGAGATGAGATCATTACTTGGTGTGCAAGAGTTGACCTCCTCGCTCAGAAATTCGGGGGGTGATTGTTGGCGAAATTATCTGAGTCCCGATTATGGCTTAGGCGTGGATCGGGTTGAGCAGAAGATAAGTTGGAGTGTCCAAGTTATCAAGCTTAACTTAAATGTGATAATTATCTATTCCTAAGATATATGGATATATAGATAATTGCCTTGTTTAAGATATAGGGATATATAGATAATTGCCTTGTTTAAATTAAATAGAGTCCTAGTTATATGCTAATACGTACATGGTTAGTATA